TGACAGTAGAGGGGGTAGAGAGAGAAGAGGGGATGGGAGGGGCGGGGAGGGGAGGGGGGATAGTAGAGGACAGGAAAGGCAGCAGAATACAACAGACACTAGTATAGCAATATGTAAATCAATGGATGTGTAACTGATGTGATTCTGCAATCTGTATATGGGGTAAAAATGGGAGTTCATAACCCACTTGAATCAAAGTGTGAAATATGATATATCAAGAACTATGTAATGTTTTGAACAACCAACAATAAAAATTAAAAAAAAAAAAGATTTAACTATTAAAAAAAAAAAAAAAAAAAACATTGCAGAAAAGTGCAGGCTGGTTGCTTTCAGGGCAAGGGAACACAGCAAACCACCAGCCCTCAATCCTCCCTAGATAATTGGAATTAAATTTTGCCAAAGCTGTCTCCATGACCCATGTTCAGGCTATTTCTTCACTGATTCTAAAGAATGCAAGGGTCAGGCAGTATTATCACCTTTTCCTCTTCATGGATTCATAACTATACTTAGACCAATTGCTCAAAATCTACCCCAATGGGCTTTCCTTGGGATTAAGGACATGCCTCCTGTTCTGAAAAAAAAAAAAAAAAAACAAAGTGAATTCCCATAAATGCAAACACAAATGAACCTGTTCTCAATTGGGGGGGAAAAGTCCAAATCCAACTACTATTCCCTTCTCCAAATAAAGTAACTTAGAGACAGAATTCAAAATGGTCATTTTCAGATATATCCAAAGGGGAAGGGAGTTCCTGGTTGTGCATAGCAGAGTGACTTACCCTACTGGAAGGTCAGGTCTATAACCCCACAGATCACTGGTTCTTTGCTGCAGCCTGAGGTGTGAAGAGAGTGGGTGACAGGTCACAGAACAGAGGGAAAGCTCCAGCAGCAAGAGGTTCTAGCGGCCACTCAGACTGACCCAGAGACCCCGGTCCCTGGCCAGCTGACTGGGACAGAAAGCCTCCTGGCTAGCTGGCTGGAATTTTTTACTGAACCCAAGTCAGTTGCTCCCACTCTAAAGAAGCCCAATGAATTAAGGGCAAGTTGTACGGGGCAAGGAAAAAGACTGATTTGGTAAGCCATTGAGACCAAGCATGGTGGAGCAGCACTCTTCTGAAAAGCCACCTTAACACAGGTTTCAAGCTTCTTTTACCTTCAGGAGGAAATGATTGAGGAAATCTGGCAGCTGGTCATCTGTTGATCTGTATCAGTCTTGAAGGGGGGAGGAGACAGATGAGGGAAGTTTCCCATGAATCAACCATGTGCTGTTAGTTGAAGTGATTAAATTAATTCAGGGAGGCATAGGATGTTTCTAGCAAAGGGTCAACCACAAGGGTCAGATTTTTATACACAATAACAACTATAATGGCTAACACTTATCAAGCACTTGCTGTAATATCAGACACTAAACGTTTTCCTGTGACCTTTCCAAACAACCTAGGAGGTAGGTAGCATTATTTGCTCATTTTTCATAAAAGTTGAATAACTTACCCCAAATCATGCAACCAGTAGGTGGTGCAGCCAGGGTTTGAATTAAGCAGTCTGACCTCAGGACCTGAGCTCTTAACCCACATTGACATGTCTTTTCATTTAAGCTTCATCCTAAGTATGTCCTGTGAGATTTGAATGGCTGACAAAAATGTGGCTCAAATGAGTTCAACAATTGAAACAGAGTTCAGTTTCAAAATTTTGGTCAGCCTGACTCCAAAACCCCTGTTCCCTCTACCCTAATTGTACTCAAAGGACAAGAGGTGCCCAAGATGAGGACAAGCAGCAGGCCTGGGAGACCAGCTCTCCACCGATCCACCCCAGATGGCATTTTCCCTGCCCCTCAAAACCTAGAAAATAACATTCAGGAACCTCCTGCTATATTTTGGGAGAAGTCCTAAAATGGTCCAGAAGAACTTTATTCCCATCCGTGGTCAAGGGAGTGGTTTCTCCTTAATATCTCCACCTCACTTTTCCTCCTCTGCTTAATTCCAGTTCCCATTCTTGTGGTGGGCCCTGTTATGGAATAAGCCCCATTCCCAAGGTTTCCACAGCACTGTGCCAGGGTAAACACAGTGTGCAGACAGCACATTAGCCTAAGGCCCAGTGGAATGAAGGGTCCAACAAAAATGCACAGCAGCAAGCATCTCAAAATGGAATACTGGACAGTCTGGTTCTTATTTAAAAAAAAAAAATTAAAGGTCTCTTGGCTTTCCATGCAGGCCTCAGTTTCCCCTTTTGAAATCCATTTCTCTTTTTTCCCACCTTCCTTCTTCTTGAGCTTACATCTTCAGAGCAAGAATGCACATCCCTTCCCAGAGGGGAGTATCGGTTCATCATCCTTCCTGTTCCTCAAGTCATGCAATTTCACATCCAGAAACCTCGAGGTGTTTTGGTCTTGATTCTAAGGTAGCTCTCTTTCCCAGAGCAAGTGTGATGATGCTGGTTTTTACAGTAGCAATTTCCCCTTCGGCAAAGCATGCCGCAGATCTTTATAATCAGAAAAACTAAGGGAGAAAGTTGGGCAATTTCAGGGTTCAAGGCTACAAACACTGAATGAATGCCGTGAAACCTCACTTACTTAACTCTTTCAAGTTCATAATACCAAATTTATAATATCAAATCGGTATTTACATTTTAAAGAATGGACATATCTACTGCACAACTCTTACTGATCCTCACCTATCTCTCTATCCCTTTGAAGAGAGCAAGCCGCAAAGAAAGGAATCTTAAGCCCGGTGTAGTGGCATGCGCCTGTGATCCCAGTGACTTGGGAAGCTGAGACAAGAGAATCCCAAATTCAACACCAGCCTGGGCAACTTAGTTGAGTTCAATCCCCAGTACCACAAACAAAACAAACCAAAACATGACACCTTGCTGGTTAACCAACTGGCAGCCACTTGGCTTCTATGGTCTGCCAATCTCCAGAGAAGCCACGTCTCCAGACTCCTGCGTCACAGTCTATTCTCACAGTGTCCCCCATTTTTTTTTCCTGTATTTGGCAGCTAAAGACTTATTGGTATTTCTGGACTTTTTCATATAAAATGTACTAACACACCAATCAAATTCTGCTACACAGATGTCTTCCTTCCTTCCTTCCTTCCTTCCTTCCTTCCTTCCTTCCTTCCCTCCAAGTTAAAGAAGAAGAGTGAGCCATGGCACACACCCAGTGGCTTGGGAGGCTGAGGCAGGAGGATCGCAAGTTCAAAGCCAGCCTCAGCAACTTAGTGAGGCCTAAAGCAACTCAGCAACACCCTGTTTCAACATAAAATATAAAAGGAGCTGAGGATGTGGCTCAGTGTTAACTGGCACCCCTGGGTTCAATCCCCAGTACCAGAAGAAAGTTTTCTGTTTTGTTTTGTTTTGTTTTTAATGCCTAGTTTTACTGTGTTCCTCAAACAGACTTTCTCTAGGAAAAGCAGCTGATGATATATCAATCTCAGCCAAACCTGCAAGAGTTTTGTCTAACCCTATGTTAGCAAAGACTAGATTGGCACTGCGAGAAAAAGAATAAACACATTTTTTGGAAGAAAGGAGTATTTTGATGGGGATGGGTAATGATGGCCTACTGGTAGCCCTAAAGTAGTCAGGCAAAATGAAAGGTTTAGGCTTTAGAGTAAAACTGATCTGGGATCTTGTTCTGCCCCCAAAGCAGTCCTGAGGCCTTCAGTAAATCATACAATCTTCTGAGTCTCAGTGTCCTTCTCTGAAAATGGAGATAATAATATTTACCATGCCAATATGAATATTAGAGAGAGATAAATCAGAACACTCAGCACATGTCAACTATATGGAGAGGGGCTATTATTCTGACTACCAAATTTGATGCTTATTTTTAAAGTATTTATTGAGTACCTATTATATGCTTGACCTTGGACTAGACACTAAGGACACAATGGATAAAGATCAGACTTGGTCTCATAGAACTTTGATTCTAGAGAGGAAAAACAGACCTTCAACTTCTAATGACATAGATAATGTTTTTTTTTCAGTGCCGAGGTGGTAAAGTACTTGCCTGGCAAGTACTTTACCACCAAGCTCCACCTCCAACGCCAAGAAAACTAATTTATTATCCAATCCCAATCATGAAAACTCCTACAAAGGCACGGGATGTTATAAAAGTCTAAATAGAGGCCAGCTAGAGTGACTTCTTTAGAAGGCTGAGGAAGCCAATGGGGCTGTGAGGACACCATGAATAAGCCCCATTGAAGCCAAGGCATGAGATTGCAGGGTTAAATGGGGACAGGTGAGAGGAAGGGGACAGGGTGCCAGGGAACTTCACAGCTGAGAACACAGCTGAGGACCAGTGTGGCTGGACTTGAGCAAGCAACGGAGAGAAAGCCAGAAGGGAGGCCAGAGGACATAGGGTTGGCAGGCCTTGTTCAGGATCATGGATTTTATTACCAAGGGGAATGAGAAGGTATTCAAAAGTACGGTATTAGCAAGGGAGTGAGATGATCTAGTTTTTCTATTAAATGTGTCACTCCTGTTACTCTGAAGATGAAATACTGGAGCTGGAATTCAGTGGAAAACCTGGAGCCACAATTAAAAGACTATTGTTATAATTCAGGTGAGAGATAGTGAGATTAGAGACTAGGAATAACAGAGATAATGATGAAATAGCCATGTAGCTCCTGTTTCAGTGCTTCTCAAACTTACCTGATAATAAGAATCTATGAAACTTGTTAAAAATACAGGTTACCAGGACTCTGGTTTGAAGATTTTCCGTGGGTCCAGGGTGGAGCTGGCAACTATACCTTAAACAAGTTTCCTGGCTGATTTTGATCCTTAAGTGAATTTGTTCAGTGTTAATTTGCAGAGCACACTGAGAAACAGAACTTCCTTTTTCCTTTATAAACTAAACCCATATTCTTGTCACTTTTCAGAACACCAACCAGTCAAGGCAAGTGTAAACTTTTACTTCACATAATAGCCTTTCTATTTAGAAGTAAAAGCACTTCGGTTATATTATTTCTGATATTTGGACCATCAAAATCTATGTTTCTTTGCATATGTTTTATGAAATATGTTTTATTTTTTTCAGAGTTAACAGAGGTGTGATTGTTGGATGAAGCTTGAACAGGCTCTCCGTGACTGCCAGAGCTTGACAAGGAGCAGCTGGATTGGAAAGAGACAGCATGGAGGGTCAGTCTCATTCTGTATTCTGCAAAAGTCTGGCAGAGGTAAATGGCACCTCCCCAATTCACTGGTTGTTGAACTTGGGACTTTGTTACTTGCCTCAAACTCTAATCCTGCCTCTGGAGGAAAATATTAGGACCTTATGTGGATAGTTTCCTTGGAAAATTCTATGTATTCTCCATTTGGAACTTTTTTTTTTTTTTTGCAGTGTATCTATCCAGTTGTTCCTCTGTCCACTCATCTCCAGAAAGACAGAATGGCACAATGGTTAAGAGACCATGTCTAAGAATCTAGTGTTCCAATCCTGGCTCTTTTGCTCATTTACTGAAGAATTTACTCAATCTCCATCTTCTTCAGTTTTCTCATCTGAAAATAGAAATAATAGTGGTGTATTAATATGTGAGGGTTGCTAGAACAAAATTCAACAGACTAGGTGTCTTAAACAACAGAAACTTATTTTCTCACAATTCTGGGACCTAGAAGTCCAAGATCAAGGTGTTGGTGGGGTTGGTTATCTAAGACCCTCTCCTTGGCTTGTAGATGGGCATCTTCTTCCTGTACAATCACAAGATTTCCCCCTCTATGTGCGCCTGTGCTCTGATCTCCTCTTTTCACAAGGAACCCAGTTAGATAGGATTAGGGCCCACCCTAATGACCTCATTTTCCTTTAAAGCCTCTATCTCCGAATAGGGGTGGTCCCTGACTTGCCATGTTTCAATTTATAATTTTTCAACTCTACAATGGTTCAAAAGTGATATGCACTGGTACTGGACACATATACCCAACATACAGTCAGGACTGAACATATTTTGAATTTTGATCTTTTCCCAGGCTAGCAATATGTAGTATGATTCTCTCTTATAATGCAGGTGGCAGCTCCATGGTCAGCCACACGCCATGAGAGCAAACAGCTGCTGTTCTACAATGTACTATGTTGCTAAGCTATGATGTTTGGTAGGTTAGCAATATTAATACAATATTTTCAATTTATGATGGATTAAGAAGTGACCCTGTCATAAGTCAAGAAACATCTGTACAGTCACATTTTAATTTATTAAGGATCAGGACTTCGACACATGAGTTGGTGGTGGTAGGGGCAGTGCAACTTAGCCTGTAACAAATGATATCCACCCAGCAGTTATTGCCAGCATTAAAAGACTGGACACATGTACCCAACATACAGTCAGGGCTCAACATCTATTGTTATCTGCTCGTTCACAATGAAAACTGCTATGTGAGGTACCATGGTCATAGAGCTGAGATGCAGTGAAGAATAAGACTGTAAGATCTCTGCCCCTGGGTAGCTTATGTTCCTAGAGAAAGCAGATCAAGTAAGTAAACAAAAACAGAGACTGTGGAAAGCACGATGTTCCAATACCAACTGGAATTCTAATTTTCCTGGGATTGTGTGAGCAGTAGTGGGATAGAGCAGAAATGGGACTTTTTCTATAAAGGTCTGGAGAGTAAACATTTTCCATTTTGTAGGTCATAGCTACTCAACTGCGGCAGCCCTCTTGTTATGGTTTCAATATGGGATGTCCCCCAAAAGCTCACATGTGAGACAATACAAGAAGGTTCAAAGGAGACATAATTGGGTTGTAAGAGTCTTAACCTAGACAGTGACTTAATCCTCTGGTAGGGGGAGTGGTAACTGAAGTGGTAGGGTGTGGCTGGAGGAAGTGGGAATTGGGGCATGGCTTTGTATATATTTGTTTCTGGTGAGTGGAGTGTCTCTCTTTCTTTGCTTTCTGATCACCATGTGCTGCTTCCCTCTGCCACACTCTTCCTCCATGATATTCAGCCTCACCTGGAGCCCCAAGGAATGGTGCTGGACTTCTATGGACTGAGACCTCTGAAACCATGAGCCCTCAAAAAAAAAAAAAAAAAACCTTTTCTCCTCTACAATTGTGCTGGTCGGGTCCTTTAGTCAAAGCAATGAAAAAGCTGACTAAAACACCTCTCGTCTCTCTCTCTGAGCTGCAGCCATTAATTAAGGAAATATCATATGAGCAAGAGCAATGGGGGATGAAGAAAGGACAGCTGAACACACAGAAAGAGAAAAAGATGGGACCAGTGGGTAGCCAAACACTGGTGGAGTTTGACCAACCCAGAGCTAGCTCAGCAAGCTTGTTACATAGGTGTCATCATTACATAGGGAAAGTTTCAGGAAAGCAGGCAGACTGAAGGACACAGGACTGGTGAGACACGGGGGTTACCTTGTTATGCCCAGAATTCTCTATCCCTGGGAATTGGTGACTGAGTTCAGTTTCCGACCAATACTCTGAGCCTTTGCAGTTTCCTTGGGCCAGTGTCAGCATAGCAATTGGGCCGTCTTGACCTGTATCTTCACACAGGCAGTTCCCAGCCCAATTCCGCCATGAGAGAGTCAGACTGTGATTCAAATCATGGCTTTCCACACTTAGCGGTGCCATGTTATAGAGCAGAAGCAGACATGCACAAGATATAAACAAATACGCATGGCTATGTTCCAATGAAACTTCCTTTACGGATACTGAAATTTGAATTTTATTATAATTTACTTATATTTTGATTTGTTTTAACCATGTAAATTTAGAAACCACTCTTAGTTTATGGGCCATATAAAATTAGATGTTAGAGCAATAGATTTATATTCTGATGTGATATCAGCAAGTAGTAGGGACACAAATACACACATGGGTGGTCAAATGGCTCCTTTAAAATAGCTTTAAACTCCCAGGGATGGAATGGCTTTTGTAGACCTGTCAGGCTCCTCCTGATCTGAACAAGAAGCTGTGCACACAGGATAGGCACAAGGTGACATCAAGGGGAACTTCAGGCATAGACTCACAACAATAGGGACAACCCTGCAAAATTCCTTCTGGAGACCCTTGTAGGTATCCTATGTCATGTCAGAAAAAGCACCATATCTGGCATTTGTCCCAGATGACATGAGTTTCAGACAAGACAAGTCCTGTGGTGGGCAGAGAGGTTAGGGCAGGGCAGGGAACAGGAAATAGGAGCTACTCAAAAGCTGACATTCCATCTTGAGTATTGTATAATAAGCTGGACCATCTCTGTTGTTTGGAATATACAGTTCACCCACCTCTGCATGTTTTTTTACCCAGAAGAAAATTAAAACCTGCCATTCATACTCTTTCCACTGGATTACCAACTGGAATTCTAATTGTCCTGGGATTGTGTGAGCTGTATCTCCTCATTTCAGTCAAGTACACATATGGTTTATTTGGCCAAGCCTAGACTGTTGAGAAATCTGTGACCTTCACATGAGGACTCACTCAATAGGTTGAGCCAATCAATAGGGTCAGGACCAAAACTGAGAGAACATCAACCTGGGGAGGAAAAAAAAAAACACCATCATGTACACGCCTGCCAAATACATGGGAGACGTTCATGAAAAAATGTACCCCCAAATCCCTTGAATTTTATTTTTGACAAAGCCTTTGTAAAGATGGATGTCAGCTGACTTTCTTTGTACTTAGTTAATATTATCTATTCCACATTGTGAGATAAATTAGGCAGTAGGGAAATGATCTGTTGTTAAAGCAACAGTTACTTGCTTTGTCATAAAAGATAATGATCAGGAGCCTGAGGCTAGAGGATCATGAGATCAAAGCCAGCCTCAGCAACTTAGTGAGGCCCTAGGTAACTTAGTGAGACCCTCTCTCTAAATTAAAAAAAAAAAAAAATGGAGGGGGAGCAGAGAATGTGGTTCAGTTGTTAAGCCCCTAGGTTCAATTCCTGGTACCAAAAAAAAAAAAAAAAAAAGATCATGAATCAACATATGGTTAAAATACAAATTAAGAGTCAACACATAAGTAAATGGAACCATTTCAAGGGCCACATAGCTCATAAGAACTTTCATCTTTAAAACCAGGTATTAAATCTTGAGATGTGTTTCATTTCAGTCCATCAGTCAACATATACTTATCAAAACTTTCCATGTCCCAAGCCCTGTGCTACTGGGGTACACTGATAAAGAGACAGATAAAAATGAAACAAAGAACAGATTAAGATGGAGAAACAAGGTAAGAACTAGTTGTTTTATTTTTAATTAGCTGAAAACTATCCATGTGATAGAGTAATCAAGAATGACCTCTCCAAGGCCACCTGAGACATTTAAATTGAAATCCCAGGCAAATGCAAAGTCCCTGAAGTGACTAAGGACAAATGAAAGACATGTGCAGGAGATCCAAGCAGAACCTGGAGAAGACAGCTGCAGTCACTGGTGGGTTTTAAGAAGAGGAAGGATGTGATAAAGCTGCAGAAGGTGGGAAGTGGAAGTGAGGAAAACGGTTAGAGAAATGCAGATGGTTTACACAGGACAGCAGCATATAGATTTAAGATGTAATTTGAAGTGGCATGAATGAGGCTTGAAAATAATTTGACACAGAGATGGGATTGAGAAAAAGAAAGGAATTCTCCAGGACTCCTGTGTTTCTGGCTTAAGGTCATTTCTTCTGTTTATTTCCTTGAAGATACTTGTCATAATTAAAGCAAGTTATCATCTTGTTAAATTAACTATTTACTTGTTTATTTTATCCATCTACCCCATATGCTGTCCAATACAACAGCAATCGAAGCCAATCTATGTAATTTAAATATTACAGTAACCACATTCAAAAAAAGAGAGGTGAAATTAATTTTAATGATATATTTTTATAAAATCCAATACAGTATATCAAAAACATTACTTCAACAGTAATCAGTATAAAAATTTAATGAGATCTTTAGTATTTTTTGAAAGAAGTCTTTGAAATCTGGTGCAAATTTTATACCAACAGCTCATCTCAATTCAGACTAGTCCCTTTTCAAGTCCTCGATAAGCCCCAGTGGCTAGTAGCTTTATATGGGACTGTACAGATCTAGAGTATGAGGAGCTAGGGGCTGGGGGCTAGGGACTGGGAGCTGGGACTACTTGGTCAGGTCCACTGTTCTATCTCCAGCAAATAAAACATTCACTGGCATGCAGTGAGCATTTGGTATATTTTGAATGGGTGAGTAAATGCCTGGTGATACAGGACTTATTGGAACAATCGTTTAGAGAATGAAGAATGAAGCTTCCATTCTGGACTGGTTAAAACTGAGGTGTGTGTGAGACATCTAAGTGAAGATGTCAAGTAAGGAAGTAAACATGAGAGTCTGGGACTGAGAAAATAGGTCTGGGTGGAGATGTGAATTTGGTATATTGACATTGGTACCAAATTCTAAATCCAAGGTAATCACTGGATTACTTTGAGAAAGAGTACAGAGGAAAGGGCTCAGGACTCTTCCTAAGAAATAAAGCCTAATTGTAATGCTTTCAGTCACAGAGATCATTTAAATACAAAGAAGTGTGGCCCCAGAGAAGTCAAGAAGCCCACATGGTTTATGGAAGAAGCAGCTCTAGAACTCAAAAATCTCCATTGAGGATTATTTAAAGAACAGTTTAAAGCATGAGGACTATTCATAAGGAACCCTGGAGGTTTGTGGAAGGAGTGTGACCCTCATGACTTCACCAAGCTTAGCCGGTTTGAAAATACACAAACAGCTGGAAACATCTTTCAGATTTGGAAATAGACCAAGATTACATTTGAGATTTCTTGCAAATCTCCAAAGTACCTTCTGCCTTTCATTTAAGTTTCGTGTGTGTGTGTGTGTGTGTGTGTGTGTGTGTGTGTGTGTGTGTGTGTTACTGGGAACTAAACCCAGGGCCTAACATTCACACATGCTAGGCAAGTGCTCTGTCACTGAGCCACATTCCCCAGCTCTCTGCCTTTCTACCTAAGTCCCCCCCCCCCCAGTACTAGGGATTGAACCTAGGGGTGGTCAATCACTGAGCTACATCTCTAGCACTTTTAATTTGGGACAGGGTCTAGCTAAATTGCTCAGGCTGGCCTGGAACTTACAGTCCTTCCGCCTCAGCCTCCCAGGTAGTTGGGATTACAGGTGTGCACAAACCTCCCCAAATTTAACACCTAGAATTCTTTTCAAGCAGTCCCTGCTAGAACTCTGTTTCTCTACCTTAGAAAACAAAATTCAACTCCTCCAGCTGATGTAAATTAATAACCACTCTATTCAAGAGAAAGGTCATTTGCAAATATTTATCAAATATGTCAATGCAGGCCAATTAAACTTCTTTGTTGCCCTTAGGAAACACAGAGCAAATGAAATGATCTAGTTTTAACTGTATAGCTAAAATGACCTTGAATAAAGCTGTCCCTTTCCAGGGCCCCACTGTTGTTATCCATAGAAAAGAGCAGTTAAACCAGAAGAACTCTAGTTCTTAAAATAATTTGTAACTCAGCATTATATAGCTCTGTCCACATATTTAATTTCAATTTTGAGAAGTCTTGAGAAGAACGTTTTAAAGGAAATCAAGGAGCTGAAGTAATCTCACTTCTCCGAATGTTATGTGGCATAACTATCACATACCCCACTCAAGGTTATTTTGAAGACTGTATTAGATAAGCCATGTGAATGTGTTAGAAATTAGATATGTAGTGATTGTTCAAGTAGATATTTGAAACAATGTACACATCCTTCCCAACTGAGGTTACTGGCCCTCTTATTTAGCGTTAGGGCATATGACTTGTTACTTGTGCTGAGTAAATGGTAAGCTATGTTATGTGAGAATGAAGAAAACTGTACGGTCTTGGAATCCCCAGAGAGCCCCTATCTTTGAATTTTAACAAAAAAGATAAAGGAATACTCTAAAAAGAAGGCACAAAGAATGTGGGAAGGAGGGAATTCACAGGCAAAGGAAGGAGACAGGAAAATAAAAGGCCAGTTAAAAAGAATTGCAGAGATGGGGAGGGGCAGTGGGCATCAGCAGGGCAGGGACAGGAGCCAGTTAGACTGGGGGCGGGGGTGGCTGCTCCGGTGACTTGCCAAGCTGGCACCAGGCGGAGGAGGGGAGCAGGAGGGAGGGACTTGGCGAAGGGCAAAGGCAGAGCAAGACTTAAAAGGGGGATGACCCTAGCTAGCTGATGCCACCAGTGACCTCCGACGCCCAGAGCCAGGGGACCCCTTGAGGGATAAACGGGAGGAAAGGCCAGAGAGCTGAGACAAGTCTCCGACTCCTGAAAGAGACGCACTGACCTCAAAGGGGAGACCCCTCGAGGTGCCCAGCACTCCGCTGCCATGTGCGAGCTATACAGCAAGCAGGACACGCTGGCGCTGCGAGGGAAGTACATCGGGTAAGGGCTACCCAGCCCGAAGGAAAGGTGTATGGGGTGGGAAAGCGTGCAAACAGCCGAAGCTGTACAGGAGAGCGAGAGAGAGACCTGCGCACCTAAGCTCGGCTGGGCTCCTGCCAGCGGGTGCGACGCCGCCCGCCTGCCGCGCTTGCGCACTCGCGCCCCCGCCTGCCTCTGCCCGCGCGGTGCTCCCTGGCGCAGCCGGCTAGCCCTGAAGCACCCGCATCTGGCTGCGCTGGGCGGAGGCGGTCGTGGGCAGGAGGCTGACGACAGGCGGCTGGAGGAGTTGGCGACCAGAGTTTACAGCCACTCTATGGATGGGCGCCGGCACGCCCACCCAACCCGAAAGCTTAAAATATGTGAACCCAGAAGTAGTTTTGGCAATGAAAACGAACTAATATTGACAATTTTTGTTTGAAACAAAAGGAGTGTGTGTGTCCTGCATGCTCGGTTAAGCCGTAAAGGGTTAATCTAGCCAGTGGAAAAACTCGAAACCACCTTCTGTCAGAAAAGCGGGCAGTTCAGTTAGCAGATGCCCATACTCAGCACCACCTAGGTCTCCAAGCTGTGCCCTCACTTCGAATATAAAATGCTGTGATCTCCCCAGTCTTCGTTGTTTTGCCCACATTATAAACGACTTGTGATATAATGGTGAGTGTACAAGATTGACCTGAGCTCTGTTCCTAGTTGGATGTCACCTTACCTCTGTGAACTCTTGTCAAATTCATTTCCTGTTTTATGAACATAGCTATAACATTCTGCTTTAGAGGAGCGAGCAAATGAAAATCAGGGTTAGCATTTGTGTCTTAAAAAAAAATACATGTAAATATGAATGATTGATTAGAGGTATTAGCACTGACCTAGTAAGATCAGTTGTCAGCAGTATTGCAGTTGACTGCTGCAGCCGACTGGAGGGCACGAGAGGAGGGAAAAAGAACAGAAGGACACAACAAAGAACAGAAGTAGTGTCCTCTTTCAGGGGAAAGCTGTGCATTTTCTCATACTGAAGCTTCTAACCTCAAACAGGGAAGTTTCTAGATGGTTTAGGAGACTAGTTAGAGTTCAACCCCAAAATGGGATAAAAATGGCCAAATCTCCCCCTCCCAATAGCTGATCACCCACTTTTTCCTAATCACCCATTCTGTTAGTT